TTCTGGACCACTTTCTGGACCTACCTCTTGATCTGTTTGTGGGCTAGTTTCTGGACCTGTCTCTGCCGCTGTTTCTGGGTCAGTTTCTAGGGCAGTTTCTGAAGCTATTTCTAGAATTGCTTCTGTACCCGTTTGTGAACTTTTTTGTGGGTTTGACTCTGGTTCAATTTCTACAACTGGACTTGTTACTAGACTAATTTCTGCACCCGCCTATGAAATTTTTTCAGGTCCACTTTCTGAACCTGTATCTGTATCTATCCCAGGTCTTCTTTTCGGACCAATTTCAGAGGCATTTTCTGGAACTGCCTCAGGACCAATTTTCTGTCGACCAATTTCTGGATTACTTTCTGGACCTGTTTGTGGACTAGCTTTTGAACAATTTTCTGGAACTAGCTCTGGATCTGTTTCTGTACCCCTTCCTGTACCTGCCTCTAGACCTGTTTGTGGGATAGTTTCTAGACCTATCTCTGGGGCTGTTTATGGATCGGTTTCTGGACCAGTTTCTAGGCAGTTTTCGAACCAATTTCTACAACTACTTCTGTACTTTTTTGTGGGCTAGTTTATTTTCTAGAACTAGCTCTGGACTTGTTTCTGTACAACATTCTGGACCTACCTCTGTTTGTGGGCTAGTTTCTGGACCTGTCTCTAAGGCTGTTTCTGGGTTAGTTTTAAGGGCGGTTTATGGATCTGTTTCGAGCCTGTTTCTAGGGCAGTTTCTGAACAATTTTCTAGAACAAGCTCTGGACCTGTTTCTGTACCATTTTCTGTACCTGTCTCGAGACTTATTTGTGGCTAGTTTCTGGACCTATCTCTGGGTCTGTTTTTGGATCGGTTTCTGGGCCAGTTTCTAGGGCAGTTTATGGATCGCTTTCGGGTTCTGTTTCTAATGCAGTTCCTGGACCACTTTCTGGACCAAACTCTTGACTTATTTGTGGGCTAGTTTCTAAACAATTTTCTAGAACCAGCTCTGGACTTGTTTCCGTACTACATTCTGTACGTGCCGCTAGACTTGTTTGTGGCTAGTTTCTGGATCTGTCCCTGGCTGTTTATGGATTGGTTTGTGTTGCAGTTTGTGGACTATTTTCTCCCTGTTTTTCTGTCTCTATATCTAGCCCTCCTCACTTTCTTTGCCCCTGTCTTTCTTTGTCTATCGCTATCTAACTCTCTCTCTGCCTGTGTCCCTGTCCCTGTTATTCTCTGTGCGCATGGCTCTGTCTTTCTATCTTTCTGTTTCTCTCTCCCTCTCTCTTTATCTTAATTGCCTCATTAGTGAACTTATTAAACTTAACCAATTCACTAAAGCTATAACCAGCATACAATATGCGACACACATATTAATATATATAAAAATCAGTGCACCAGTTAGAACTCAGTTCAATTACTCACATCTTAGTGACGCACTTTGAATGTGCACATACGTGTCTAATTGCAAACAAGTGCCATTTACCGGCTCTGCAATACAAACTTTTCGCCAAAGAAAAGTGCGAGCGAGTCTTAATTGTTTCTGAATAAAAAAATGTTCCTTTCCACAAGGTAGTTGTCTACCCCTGCACTTTGACTTCTTAGCGAAAAGTTTTAATTGCAGCAGGTTTGTCAGCACACTATGGGTTGACTGTGGCAAAGATGAGATTCTTTTACGTATGGTTCAGAGTATCACACAACTTCCAAGTATGCTTTGGGTAGTTAAAACCCACCTGCTTGAAGGAGAGATAAGGTGAGAAGTCGAAACCCTGCGGATATGCGTGCAGCTTGGGATGCACCACTTACAAAAACTTTCCGTGACGACTCTTAATAACGTTTTAATAATCACAATTTGAAACCATGTTCCTGGTGTGTCCAGTCCCAGAATTGGGAAGGTCGGTACCTATTTTAGTGATATCCTAGTAGAGCTAAAGGCTCACATAACCAAACATGGATCCTTGTGAAAGCTACTAATCAACTACAGTGGCTATATAAAGTTGCGCAATTATGGGGTTATATTTGTGGTTGGAAAGGGAGTCCGTACTCCAAGTATGCTATAAAGAACCAATGTTTGCGCCCCCGCCACAATGTCAGAGTTGTGTTGGGCGACTTTAACGCCAGGGTGGACAAAGAAGGTTTCTTAAGTACAACTTCCGGTAAATTCAGCTTCCTTGACCAATCATCTCTAAACAGACTGGGGCTGATCAACTTCGTCGGAGTCCAAAATGGAATTATTTGTTGCACGAGATTACGGCACAAGAAAATTCATCAAGCTTCATGGCTGCCCCCGGATCTAAAATCACTAATCAGATCGATCAGATTATGATAAGTAGTTGAATATATGTCTAGAGTTCTAGTTCACAGCGAAAATACGCATCTCTTATGGTTTATCATAGAATGGACGACAAGTAAGATTCGATGTCGAAAAGCTGCAATCGCAACAGACTGCCGAATGATTTTCTACTCGACAGCAGCTCACACTCCCTACGCACGGCTGATACGGTTACAATTGGATTTCAGCATCACCAGTAATTTTGCGCTTGACCGCAATACATGTGGGCTGAGATAGATGTCGAGAGCTGAAAATCGAAAAAAGCATTCACAGACAAAAAAGGCGCTGAAACACATGAGTATGTAGTGATTGAGAAGCGCACCAGCAAGGACGAGGAAGACGACTTCCAAGAGGTTACTAAAGCAGTAACCAATGTGGAAATGTGGTGACCGAGAACCAGATCATATTCAGCTTATGGAGGGAATAATTCTCTAGTCTGGTGAGTGGCTGCGAAAGCACAACACCCGACGGTGGTGAACCCGAAACCCAATCGAAGTTGAAGGAAGTAGCAGTTTCTCACTTAAAGTTCAATAAAGCTTTTGGAGCCATTAACTTACCGAATAAGCACTTCAAACATTGTGGCGAAGAACTGACTAGGTGCATACATTAGTTTCCTACATTAGGGGTTCAAGAATTTATCCGCGGTAAGGCAGGCGACTAAAATCCAATACTTGCCGCGACAGTTGAACCTTTATACCGGAACGACCCGAACTTTTTATCCGGTCAAGGACTCTCACTCCCTCAACATTATCCAAAAATTAGCTTGAGGAATATTTTTGCGACTACAACAACAACAACAAGGAAAGCATGCCCATTGCTTGGAAGTCTACTTTGCTGTACCTAATCCATAGGATAACGGACCTCGCGGTCTGGGTCTATTACCGTGGCATTAGTCTTCTCAATTTTGCAGTGAATTTCGGTCGCTATATTACTACTTTGTTGCCAGCAGAAGCTGTTTTTCTCCATACCTTTGGCTAGGCACATTCTGGGGGTCAAATACAGATTAGTTAACCCATTGCTATTCGAAGAGAAATTTAGTGCATTTCCGCCACATTGGTGCTTTGCCAGTCTCACTGTGTACCTCCCGCCTCCATGGCGACCTTTCTACATATTTGAGGTTATAAATGCACAACACTTCTGCTAAGCGGCCGACTAATCTAATGGTTCGTTAGGGAAACGATGAAACTTTTCTACTTTTGATCGCAACGAAACATTTTGGCAAAATTAACAAGTCAGAGGTTTGTGCGAATGCCGGTAGATGAAATTGGCAGCTTAAAGTCAGCTACCAGCATTTCTGACTATTTATCTGTAGCTATGTAGGTATGTATATGTGTGTAAGACTGGTTGGCAAAAGACTGAAACGAAAAGTATGCAGAAGTCGCTTAAAATTGCATGCGGGCTCGATGAAAGTCTGAAGTCAGAAGTCAATTGGTTGAATACATTTTACTCTGCCTTCAGCAGCAGGTTGACTTCAAAGCCTTTAAGGCACACTTAAATTGATACATACAAACGCTCACATACAAGCCTGATCCGCATATGAGTGTTCGTCGCTTTCTTTCCTCAAGGCTTACTTCCGCACTTTCGCTTTATTTTCCAAATTTCACTTGCCAAAATGCTGCGCTCATCATTTACACTCACACACACACACACTCGTACTTGCACACTCACACTCAGCGCAGGTTCTTCGCGTCCAATTTGTACAGTTAAATTTCCTTTACAGTTCATCAAGGTAATCATCGTCATTATTAACATTGCTTGAGTTCATTACAGTGCGTATGCATGCGTATGTTGCTGTTTTTGTTACTGTTTTTGAAAAGTTAAAGTTGAAAACTCTTCGACAAAGCAGAAAGAGAGAAGAACGAAGAAACTTTGGCAATTTGCTGATGTGCAATTTCGCCACGCAACCGTTGGTCATGTGAAGTTTGCGATGCCTCGGGGGAAAAGGCAGGGGCGAGTTGAGAGGTTGCTTTATCAACATTTAGCCTTTAAATGCATACGCGTGTTCTTATTCGCCAGCTCGGCACTTAAAGAGCTCATTGGGAACGACCAGTCACGCCTCTTATCACTCACAAAATGTTATCTTTTCATATAAGTTTCTCAAGTGAAAATGAAGCTCAAACTTTTTGCATGATTAATGATGGCAACGTGTTTTATTTGTTAGCACAAAGGAATATTGTGCTTTGCACGCCGAGCTTAGCTGAAAAGATATATGAACTCTTACTCAGCCGAAAGCTCAGCCGGAACATTGCAAGCTGGTAGTTGAGTTGTCGGTAATAGGAGACCCAATCGAAATTAGAGAAAGGGACATGGTACCAGCCATACAGGTTTGGCAGATTCAAAGACAGAGACATCCACACCACATGGCTATTTCTAAAACAGAAATCTGGTAACCCACTCCCCCTTATTTTCTCATATATATAAAACTACGGGGGCGGCCACGGTAGCCGAGCGTGTGTACTGCCCATCTCTGCGAAAATTATGGTTTCTTAAGAGAGATTCCGTCGAGAAAGATACCAAGTATAAACTCCTTCAAGGCGGAAACTCTTGGATCTTAGTGGCCTCTTACGATGGGCATGCCTTACCGTTGGTAAATTCTTGAACCCCTAACCAGCAGCGCACTGGTTGAACTTTTTGACTTAAAAATAAATAAATTCATTTATAATTAACATATAAATACATATAAAAAATTATACAAAAAATATTTTTATTTGATGCATTTATTTATTTATGCTATATTTATTCTTATATCCACCAAACCAGTGCCGATTTAAACTGACTGAAAGTCCAATTCAATGCAATTGCCAGATGTATTAATCCAAGTATTAATCCAAACAACAGATTTTCTTTCTTTTTTCTCTTTACTTCGTGCATTTTTTCGATAGAATTTGCGAATTTACTCTTAATTTATTCAAAGTTCTCTGCATTTTTTATAACACTCTTTAACATAACAAGACTTGATATTATTGATTCTCTTTTGCCTTCTTGTTCGCTACGAGTAAATCTTTCACGAGAGAGCCCAACAAATCGGCGCCCTCTTGATTATTCTTCTTGTAGTAGGGCAGTTGCGTCAAACGATTTAACCATGCCGCGAGTTTGGGGAATTTCTCTTCATTAATCGGCGCAAAGATCGCACCGCTAGAGACTGAGGCCACAGCACACAAATCGGCAATGGTCAAATTCTCACCACACAAGTATGGGGAATTGGTGAGACACTTCTCCAAGCCATCGTACGCCAAGTGCATGTAATTAATTTTGTGTTGCTCTATATTGTCAGCGCCAAAGTAAATAACCGGTTCGACCATAAGACGTACGCGTGGGAATAAATGACCAGCATCGTAGTAGAGACGTGCGTCCACTTCCATACGTTTGAGTTTATCTTTCGGATATAAAGTTTCATCGGGTGAGTACTTGTCTGCTAGATAGGCGCTAATAACGTGTGAATCTGTTACAACTGTACCGTTATCGTCTAGTACAGGTATGGTGTGCTGAGGATTGAGTTTTAGGAATTCGGGTGTTAAATGTTCCTTTTCCTTCAGGTTCGTTAGGCTGCATAAAGAGCGGGAGGGGGAAAAAAGAAATTATATGAAGAAATGGGCAATTTTCACATTCCGAAAAAATGACTAAATATCCATAAATTCATTTAAGCTCAAAAAACAGTTTTCGTTTATGGAATTTATGAAAATTTTTTTTTTTTTTTACAAAATATATGAGCTTTATACTTACGTTCTCCTGAGTAGCTGAACATTGAAAATTCAGCTGTTAACAATAAAAATACTCACCGTAAATCCAGTTCCACTCCAATAGCCGCCGCTGTCAAAAGCACGGCACGGCATGGGGGGCTACGTGGTGAATAATATAGAACAGGTTTCGTTGACATGTTATCTTCTGATAGTATTCTAGATAAAAATCAAGTAGCTAGTGACAACAAAATGATTCAACTTCAACAAATAAGAAATATATATCACAGCCGTACATAAATTCACTCAAATCAAAATCAATATCACAAGATTATAAATATTTTAATGCCTTTTCAAAGGTTTTTTTTCATATTAATATTGCTTCACCTTTTTACCAAACAGACAAGAAATTATATTGATAAACTTTCATCCACAGACACAATCAAATTGGAAATCACAAAATGTTTATATCTTTGTAATTAACAATTATTCACTCGCTGGTAAAATAATAGATAAATAAATAAAAAAATAAATAAATAAATAAATAAATGTAAATATGTAAGTGGTTACCAAATGTACACCAGTAGCTATTAAAAACAACTGACCGCTTTGCTGCACACAATGTGTATTTCTGAGCTTTATTGTCTCCAACCGGTCGTTTCTATGCTTGTTTGCGCACAAAACAAATAATAAAAATAATAATTGGTATAAATGAGATATTGCGTTAGTCGTGTTGTATGAGCGGATTGCGACATGGATAGAGAGAGTGGCGATTTGAGCACTTATAGAGAATCTCACGAGTAGGGTTGCCATTAATTTGCTTTTAATAAAATAACTAATGTATTTAAAATGATCAACACAACTGAATTAAATATATATATATAAATCATGAAATAATAAATAAAAAGTAATAAAAAACCAACAAAAATTACATAAAAACATTATTGAAAAATAAAAAAATTAAATGATATAAGTTATAAAAAAAATTAAATTAAAATAATTTAAAATAAAAAAACACTGAAACAAAATGAAATAAATTATAATGAAATAAAAAAATAAAAAACTAGGTAATATTAAAAAATAAGAAATAGGAAATAAGAAAAATCTACATAAAAGAATTATAGAAAAATAAAAAAAAAAATTTCATAATAAAATTTATTAAAAAATAAAAAATAAAATAATACAAAATAATTTAAAACAAAAAAACAATGAGACAAAATAATTTAAAATATAATGAAAAAACAAATAATAAAGAAATAAGTAATAAAAAAATAAGAAATAGGAAATAAGAAAAAATTACCTAAGAAAATTATAGAAAATTAAAAAAATTAAATGATAAAATTTATAAAAAAATGAAAAAAATAATTAAAATAATTTAAAACAAGAAACCAATGAAATAAAATAACTTAAAATATAAAAAAAAAACAAATAAATAAAAAATAAGTAATATTAAAAAATAATAAATAGGAAATAAGAAAAAATTACCTATTAAAATTATAGAAAAATAAAAAAAAATTAAATGATAAAATTTATTAAAAAATAATTAAAATAATTTAAAATAAAAAACCAATGAAACAAAACAAAGTAAAATAAAATAAAAAAATAAATAAATAAAAAATAAGTAATATTAAAAAAATTACTAATTAAAATTATAGAAAAATAAAAAAAATTGAAATGATAAAATTTATTAAAAAATAAAAAAAAATAATTAAAATAATTTGAATAAAAAACTAATGAAACAAAAGAAAGTAAAATATAATAAAAAAAAAACAAATAAATAAAAAATAAGTAATATTAAAAAATAAGAAATGGGAATAAAGAAAAAATTACCTGTTAAAAGTACAGAAAAATAACAAAAAATTAAATGATAAAATTTATTAAAAAAAATAATTAAAATAATTTAAATAAAAAACCAATGAAACAAAAAGAAGTAAAATATAATAAAAAGAAAACAGATAAATAAAAAAACAAATAAATAAAAAATAAGTAATATTAAAAAATAAGAAATGGGAAATAAGAAAAAATTACCTATTAAAATTATAGAAAAATAAAAAAAAATTAAGCGATAAAATTTATTAAAAAAAATAATTAAAATAATTTAAATAAAAAACCAATGAAACAATGAAACAAAATAAAGTAAAATATAATAAAAAATGAATAAATAACAAATAAGTAAACTAAAATAACATGGAGAATTCAATCAAGAGAAAACCATTATTATTTATATCAATTATTATTTATTTTCACTTTTTTTTTAATAACTACACTTTAATAATTCTTATGTTTTCAATTTCAACTTGGTTATTGAATAAGATTTAAATTTCAAATTATTTGGTTTTATTTCCTCTTAATTACTTTTCTTTAAAAAATGCTTTTCATTGCCTTTTTTCAGCTTATTTTATGCTACTTTATTTTATATTTTATTTTGTTTTNGGTTTCTCTTACTTGCGGCTGAGATTCCTTTTCGATGATGGCATTGGCAGTTTTGCGCTTTTAGAAACTTTATTTTATATTTTATTTTTTTTTTTTTTTTTTTTTTGACTTCATTTTATTTTATTTTACTTTGTCTAACTATATATTATTGTATTTTATTTCATTTTAGACATACAAATCCTGCGGCGCACCGCTTACTAAACTCGTGGAGGGAAAACTTGCAAAGTTTGAATTCATCGAGCGTAAGTTCTGCAAAGCTTCTTGGAACAAAAACAAATGTAATTCCATGCAATAAACCTCGCAGTTATTTAAAAAAAAATAAAACTCTCCAAAATAAATTGAATAAGTTAAATTGTTGATTAATGCATTCCGTCCTATTCAAGTTTCTACTTAACCATCATGCCACTAACAGCCCAGTCCCGTTTAATTTCAATCACACTGTATGATTTAATTGGTAATTTGTTTTTGTATAGCTAAACTCATTTAAATGCAATATTTTGTATGAAAACGCGAAATATTTTGTTTTTGAAATATTTTCAATTCATAAATCAAATTTACATTTTAATTAAATCGGTGGTGATTGTAGCGCGAAAAGTCGTTGACAGATAAACACATTCAAACACATAAATATATACATCTTGGTAAAGGTGGGGTGTGGTGAAGAATTTGACGCGAAACAGCGAGAAAGAATCTGAAAACTCAAACAAAATTTGAATACCAAATAAAAGTTGGAAAGCTAAGCTAAGGAAATAAGCGAATGAAGGAAATTAAATTAAATTTATTTCGAACAGGCATTCGAGGACGGAGAAGAGAGCGTCTGGAAACTTTTCATGCCCATTTGTTTTTTGTATTTTACCTTATAAATTGTTTATAAGAATATCTAAAATTTCGGTTGACAGTAAATCTTTTAAAAATCAGATGTTGGTGCCCTAAGTTCTTTAAATAAAATGATATAAAACTAATCTAATTAAGAAATAAAAATAAAAAATAGTTAAACTAAATTAAAATAAAATTAAAAAAAATTAAATTAAATAAAAATAAAACAATCAATGTCAAAAGCAGAACCCATCACCAAGTCGGATATCAGAGATGAAGGACAAGTAATCTAATGTTCCAATCCTTCATTTCTCACCTATCAGCTCTCAGCAAATTAACAGTGTTACCAAAGAGCTTCTCAATTGGAAATCGCCAGGATGCGATAAAAAACATGCGTACTGGTTCAAGAAACTATCGTGCACTCGTGTTAAAATCGCTGAGATCTTTACAAAGTTAATAACCGGCGAGAAATAAATATCTGAGTTCCTTACCTTAGCTACAACCCATATGATATCGAAAAACAGTAACTAAGTTGAGCCATCCATGTACAGATCAATCACATGTCTCCCGGTTATCTATAAAATACTAACACCTTGTATATCCAACATCTTTTATGAGCACCTTGAAGTATGAAAGCTTTTGATTCGGTGCTCCACTCATGGCTTATCGAGGCACTGCATCTGTATAAATTCAATCCCAATATAATAATTTTCCTAGAAAAAATTATGAAATATTGGAAAACAAAAATAAAATTGCCCCGAGCTTGAACTGCTCAGTACACAAATCAGATAAAAATAAGTAATGGAATCTTCCAAGGTGATTCACTGAGTCCACTCTGGTTCATCATCAGCATGAATCCCCTCAGTCATATCCTACGGAATACTGGATATTGATATGGGGTGAAACATGGCCAGAATGGAAATTGCCGATTGAGCCATCTCTTCTATGTAGATGATCTCAAACTCTATGCCGTCAAGCCAAACCATTTTGGAAAGCTCTTGGAATATATCGCAATATTATCAAATGACATTAAAATGCCTATGTGTCTCGATAAATGCCGTAAAATCACTATTATAAAAGGAAAGGTTATGCCCCGGGACAATCCAATTGAGTCTGGTGGCCTTGATATAAACGAAATGGAATTACGAGGAATTATGAGGCATACAAGTATCTTGGAGTAATGCAAGGCAATTGTGTAGATACCATGCAGATGCGAAAAAAAAAACTGTTGGCTGAGTTTAGACGGCGACTCACAGCCTTATGAAAAGTCCAATTCAATGGGAGAAGCCAGTCATATACCATTAATTCGTTTGTTATACTTGTAGTATCGCATAGGAATTATAAAATGGAGGAGATGCAGCGTATAATTCGCACAGTAATGTCAAAATATAAGGCACATCATCCGGTGTTTCGAATGACATGGCCAGAAAAAATTGCGGAAATTGTCAGATTGACATTGGAGCGCTGCATGACAAGCTTATTTTAAATCTGCGAACATACTTCCATGTAAATTCATCACAGTCTGAGATCCATCAGGCCGTAGAATCAGCTGATAATAACTGCACTCCACTGCGAATGAATCAGCATTGTGAAAGCAGAAGCACAACATCGACGGACGAAAAACAACAGAGATGGTCTGAAATGGTAGTTCACGGTGAATATCGCAAAGACTTGTTGAGCCCGTTTGTCGACGAAAACGAGCAATATTCGCCAAAACAGAAAGCAGTATTTTTGCAATGCAGCCAAATTTCGTAGATGCAATAGCTGCAGCGAAACTTTAGACCATGCTCTCGAAGGATGCACTACGCTTGCTAACTCAATGTGCCTTTTCGGCATCGCGAAAAAAATCATATGCAAGCGTGCTACAGATATATTCCGGAACCTGTAAGTACGAAGATTCCAGCATCCTTATAGATTGGGTGTATGCATTAATTCGTGCGGTTTCTTTTTTTTTGAAAATTAAGACTTTATTTTCAAAAAATGCATTTAATCGTCTGGAAACGGTTGCTTGATCAACTCCTAACATTTTTGCAAGTTCTTCTTACGTATGACATGCCTCTGCGTCGAGCAATGTCTCCAATTCTTTGGCTGTCCGTCGTCTAAGTCGAAACCACTTTTGGCACGTTCGTTCGGCTAAAGTATGGTCACCATAAACGTCCAGTAAAAGACGATGGCTTTCGGTAGCATTTTTCTTCATGTTAAAGTAATGAAGAAGAACTCCCCGCAACAACACTTTATCTGGTACAAATTTCGATACTTTCAAATGAATGAGACAAATTGTTGTTCACGCCAAAACAAATGACATCTACTGAAAAGGACGCGAAATGACAATAACTTTAAAATGAATATAGCACAGATAACACGACGCGAAATAATACTAGTAGAGCCCTCTCGTAGAAAACCGCACGATTTAATGC